TTGCTCCTCCCATGACAGTAAGACACTCTGAACAGCCACGTTATAAAGCAGGTTTAATGGCACCGGAGACATTTATTGTATCTGACAACTGCTTTCTAGATTGTTGGAGTTTGTTGATGCTTCCAAAAGAGATCAAATATATCCACATTCACTCAAAAGCATGTACTTGAAAGTTTGAATCTCTCTCAGTGAGCTCCCTGTGCTTCCCCCTGACTGACCGACAGGGGGCGCTGTTTGTCTTGTAAATTAATATGTTTATTTAACCTCTCAGTGACTTTCAATGCAGCAGCTTAGCTCTGACTTGCAGCTGCACATTAGAGCTCAGAAACTTTAAATTTCGTTCATTTCAATTGTGTTGATTCTCAACATTCAGGTCTGACTCTCTCCAACGATGAAAAGGACTTATCAAGAATTTATCAGCACTTGAATGTCTCTGAATCTTTTTGTGCAGTTTGCTACCTTAAACCCTTCTCTCACCAAAACAATGCAGATTAGATTTTTCACACCATTTGCATGCTGCTTTTATATTTTTGTTCAGTGCAGCTGACCTTATGAAAGTACTCCAACCCTGACCTGTATGTGTACATCCTGATAACCAAATCAAATAGCAGCCGCTTTCATGAACTGAAGTAATGAAAAAGTTAAATCTAAGGCCTGTAGCTCAACCAGATTCCAAAATTTAGAGAGAAAAGCAAGTAAAAAGACATTTTTATTGTTGGCCGGAGATACAAAAATAGAAAAATATCTTTCCCCTTCACAAAGTGACGCAATATCAGTGGAAAGCAAAAAACTAAAAAATTAAAAAGTAGCGCAAACATGAAAATAACTATGGTAGTAAAATTCTATCAGCAGTAAAAACTCAGAGTACCAACACTTTCATTTTTGGAAATAACGGTGCATCACTCTGTGAAAAGAATTCTAAGTTTGCCTCCTACACTATCTAATGACTGGTTCAACAGGAACAGTCCATTATGTTGTTTGTTCATGTGAAATGTTTTGTGTTTCATCATTCAGTTTTGAATGAACTAGCGACTAAAGCCATGACATAAATGTAGCAACAATAAAAACAGAATAATTCCTACAATCTCACGAAGTAGCTTCACA